AACCGGATAAATGCCGTATTGTCCAACCGAACTCAAATTTTACGTGATATATATATTAGCGTTTAACACGACCAAGTATTTTAGTGTAAGCTAGTGAAGGAATTCCTATTTTGTCAGTTCGTGCATGTTTAAAGAATGACAAAAACGGTTTACATGTTTTTGTTGTTGGCTCCTTTCATCTGCTTCCTCAAAAATATTGTTTACGTACTCCCAATAAGCTAACGGATTGTACCTAATTGCACTTCGTTTTTTAGAGATTTATGTCGTTTAATATCTCTCGGGTTGTTTGTTTTGTTCTTAATTCTAAAGTATAAAGTAAAGTAACTTACATATTGTTTTATAATTAGATTTAATTAAATGACGTCACAACCAATATATTTTTATTTTTAAAATGTCTACCTATCAATGGAAAGTACACACATAACTTTTCCTTTAATTTTAAAATAAGCAATAGTGGAAAATTGGATTTATTTATTTACCTTATAAGTCTACATTGAATTATGAACATTATAGACTATAACTAAAATTAAAGATGCAAACTAAATAGATACATTATAACACATTAGACACTGTCCAATACATTGTTGAAATAGCCCTTTAAAGGATTTAAGTATTTCACTTAAAGCTACTTAGCTGGGCAGTTTATTCCACTCCTGCAATGTTCTTAGTATGAAAGAATACTTAAAATAATCACACTTAACTGTAGGTATTCTATATATGTGTGGGCATGCAAATGAACTATATGTGATCGGTTGTAGCAAACAATAATCTATGTTAGCGAAGTTATTTCTGAGCTTATAAAGCATTGTCAAGCGAGCGATTGTCCTTCGAGATTGCAATGTTTTCCAGCCAAGGAGGCTCAACATGTCGGTAACACTATCCTGACGACCGTAACGGGAGAAGACCTATAAAGCTGTTCTTCTCTAAACCATCTCCACCCGTCTGATGTTCTTGGCTGTGAATGGGTCCCTTACAGAAGAGCAGTATTCAACTGTTGGTTGTACCAGGGCTTTTATGCTCTCTCCTTTGCAGCTGTGGAACAGTGTCGTAGGTTCCGCTTTAGAAAGCGCAGTGTCTTATTCGCTCTATTTGAGATATTTTTCACATGCCTACTTTCTATCTGAGATCTTCAGAAAGATGTATTTCAAGAGACTTGGTGATGTTTACAGCTTCAAGATAGCGATCGTTTGCATCTTAGTGTCAAATATTATCAATCATTTTGAAAAACACCGTATACTAAATGACTTTTAACATGGTTTTCGCAAATTACATTCATGCGAAACTCAGTTGATTATTTATGGACTTATGTGTAAGACGGATTGCTATAGAGTATAGTCATTCGCTCTCTTCCTCGCTTGCGTCGGAAGCCACATAAAGCAGCTGGGGCTGACAGTCTACATCCAAATGTACTAGATAAAACATTCGAATCCGATCTGTATCTGATATACAAACTCTCGCCTTCGGCTCGAGTTTGTATATCAGATACAGATCGGCTGCTCATGTTTTATCTAGTACATGTGGATGTAGACTGTCAGCCCCAGCTGCTTTATGTGGTTTTAAGCTTGATAGTAATTTACAGACACCGTCAACTGTAATGTAAATTTGAGGCATGTGTGGGTAGTATTACTGGTCTGATATTTGTTGTCTTTGTACAATCTCTGCAATATGTGGAAGCAGCAAGCTTCATTGGATCAAACTGCGAAAAATTAGTTTTGAATTGATCATTCAACAGTCCCACTTTAATGCAGGGGTCAGTCACAACCGACTCTCCTAGTTTGAGTGAAGGAATTCCTACTTTGTCAATTCGTGCATGTTTAATGAAGGATCAAGACCGTTTAACACAATAATGTTTTTGTTGTTGGCTCCTGTCATCATTTTCGTACTCCCAATAAGCTTGGCGGATTCTTCTTTGTACTTTGTTTTTTTAGATATCTATGTTGTTTAATATCTCTCGGGTTGTTTGCTTTGTTCTTAATTCTAAAGTATTAGCGGTAAGTAAAGTAACTTATTTCTTTTTCGAATCATACGTCGCAGCATTTATCCAGGGCAGATTTTTTCTGGATCCCTCAAGCTTAGTTGGAATCTACTAATTCCATTTTTTAGATAACAGATAAATGATTGCCAAGAAGATTCAAGATTTTCTTCACAGTCCAGTTGCAGAGAGTCCCAATCGGCTTTTTTGTATAATGATGTCTTTCTAGGCTTTTGTTTATTGGTGATAGGAGAAATGTCTCCCTTTCGACAACCACATGCAGCATCATGGCCAGGACTGCATAATATAGCGGACAGCGAGACCATTGGTCCCAGAAAATGTTTGAGGTTGGCAGAAAAAATGGAGGGTAAAATTTAAAAGTCTCAAAAGAAAAAAAGTAAAGAGATGAAAGAAAGGAAAAACAGAAAGAAAGAAAATGAGAAAAAATGACATAATTGAATAATAAGCTGTAGGCAGTGAACTAGTGACAGTGGCGGCGCCAGGCCTCAGAATTTGGGGTTATTTGAGGGGCAAACTCATATTTGGGGGGGCAATATAGAATTTTTAAAAAGGTACTGTTATTTGCCCATGCCGTTGTCACAGGACTTTTGTCCCCCCAGGAGATTCGCCCCCCTCTCAAAAAGGGGCGATATTCCTGGGAATACCGCCCCCGGGGGACGAATATCCTAGGAATATCGCCCCCTCCCCAGAGGGGCGAATGCCCCAGGTATATCGCCTCCCCCCGGCCCCCCACTTTAGGATATTCGCCCCCCATATATGCGATGTGGTTTATTCAAATGATTTCGTGATACTTTCATCTTATTGGTGCCTTAAGGCCCATACAGACCGGACGCTATTTGGCAACGCGACGCGAATTTTCAGTTTTCACTCATTCATTGTTTTTCAAATATTCGGGACCACTTAGCAATTTTAGCTATTTGGTCTGCATACCTTGTAAAATTTTTATCCGTTGACGGTTTTATTTGTTTTTGAAAACTGAAATCGCGTCCGATCTGTGTGGGCCTTTACAGGTTTGAGAATTTAACTTTGCAAAATTAAAGCTTTTTTTTGTCTTTTTTGAAACGTATTAATGGAGTATTGGCAAGTTTTACCATTTAGAGATTTACAAACTAATATTGAAACTGTAAAAGACAGTTTCATGTATACGCGCATTCACTAATGAGTAATGACAACTCATAAGCCATACATTTTCCGATAACGACAAAACGCTTGTGTAGCCTTTAGTCGCTCTCAGTGACTAATACATTTTTTTGAGGGGGGGGGGCAAAATGGGGGGGGAGGAATAAGCTGAGGAGAAACCACTGCGGGGAAACGAACGACTTTCTATCGAGCATGCGCGAAGATCACGTGATGGGATGCACGTCACTAATTTGACTTCATTTCCTGTAGTTTGACAGTTAGTTATCTGTACGTAAACAAGCGTGGCATAGTACTGTTTTATTTGTTGTCTGTCAGTTTTAATCGAACAACTTTTTATTCTACATGCAGTTCACAATTTATGTATCGGTTTTAATATCGTTATTGTCAGTAAAAAAATATTTTGAAATCAGTGCCTTACTCTACGGCTACAAATTGTGCATTTGAATTTCTGTTATATCTTTTTAAATTTTTGTATTTATCCGATCAATATCAATTTTTTTAATTCGGTCTGCAAACTTTATTTTTGTTACTTAAATTTTGGAGATTGTTTTAAGGTTTTCGATAAATTCCAATTTCCAAAGTTTCCAAATAATATAATAATATAATAACGTTTCCAATTACTGTTGATTTTGATAATTATTGCAATTTTTGATTGTCGAGACCTCAACCGCTACAAATTTCAACTGATCAAAGATCGTTGCGACGGCGCTACTATTTCTGTAAAAGGTTGATTTTTGTTGCAGTGTGTGAATTTATAATTACTCTGTTGAACTGTAGGCGGTTTTCAAGTCATCTTAATGTATAATTTCAAATATTTTATTCAATATTTTGTAAAGTTATAATATTGTGTAAAAGGTAGTATATTTATAGCGTGTTACTATATTTAGAGCGTGATCGTGTTGATTTTGTACAACTGGCTCGCATTTTACCAGCAGTGGCAAGCAGTTCCCATGCGCACAACAATAAAAACTTGTCAAACTTGTTTTACCGGTTTCTCATTTAATGTATTCGTCCGTGAATCTGGATGGCGGCTACATGAAACGATCGTTCCTTTGCTCGCAGTGGTGTCTCCTCAGCTCAGCCAGAAACCACTGCTAGCAGGGTAAAATATACGTCTATTTTGGTTTCAAATCTAATGAAATGGTGCGTATAGAATACACTGAATTTTGTTTAGTGATCAAATTTAAACATAAGATTAATCCCCAGTGTTTGCGTGGAGAAAATATTTTCGTTGGCTTTGTGGTCCCAGAAAATAAAATATTTTATGCAGCCCTGATCGTGACCTGCCAACCATGAAGTTACTTCAATAGATTTAATAAGTGATGGATTGTTGGTAATAAACAGATCTAAAGTGTTATTTTGGCGGGAGGTTTCTCAACAACCTGGGTTAGTCCGTTATCATCCAAAATTTCCAGGAATTGCTCATGTAAGTTGAGATGTGAGCAACTTGGTTGGATGAAATTTCTAGCTATAGTTGAAACCTGGGAGATCCCCAGCCAACCAAATATGCCAGCTCTTATTACTTATCATGGCATTACTACTCACTATGACATGACGCTAATACAGCGAATCGTTCCCAGAAAAGATTAAGTGTGTATCATGTATATTATCTGATGTACTATGACTTTCGAGCTTGTTCTTGTTGTTTTTAAAGAATAATAATGGAAAGTTGCGAATATCTTGCTGTAAAAATGTCTAAGCCCAGTCCCATGTCCCAAGTCTATACCACAATGAGTTTTGAAATTAACAACGCTTACAGTACATGCACCTACAGTCATATATGCACGTCTCTGTATTACTATAAGCAACGACTCAGGCATGTTCGTGTTCAAAACAGTTCAAAACTTGATGGGAAGATTTGTCTTACCTCCCCAAGATTCCGTAGTATAACCTCCGAAGATCAAATTACCAACTTTTATTATGGTGACCGTTGGTTTCTTGTGATCACATTTCGAATGGAAAGTGCTGGCTGCCAATCCATGCTTAGTTGCACGCCAACACAGATTCCAAATAGTGTTTGTGTTTCCAGTCCACGAAGTTAATCTTGTCAGAAAGTCAGCTGGTTCTCCAGACAGTATGGTGGAGTCGACAGGAGGCGTCGGGACTAAACGACAATAACAAAAATGACGAATTTCTAATGCATCATTCAATACATCTATTTAATTTTGCATTATAAATATAAGGCATTGAGACATATTAATACTACACTGTAGAAATTAGATTAAAACCGCCAAGATATATCTTTAGACCAGCTGTCACCGAGAATATAAGTTAGAGCGTCGAGCGGTTATTCGAGAACACTATAGAACAGTATAACAAGTAATGAGTAATTGATTCTATCCCATCTGCACAACTACAAGCAGGAGACAGAACAGTACCAATCTTGTATAAATGATAATTTAAGCCACAAACAATCCCAATTTAAACGACTGTGTAAAAAGAACAATATCTATCTAAAGAATAATCAAAATGCCTTGTATAATTTGGCGGAGAGAAAATTTATGCTAATTCTTTTGAAAACAATAATAGATCGACTGAATGGAATAAGCTGATTCATTTAATTGGTTCCATAAATTAACGAATGACTGCAAAAAGACTCTGTTGTATCTTCGTTCGTGTTCGAGCCCCAACTAACGCAAGGTTCTGCACCATTCTGAACGTTTGCCGAGATCTATTGTTCAACAGCCAACGGGACTGAATCACTTCAATATTCTGGAGAGATTCGCTTAACTATTTAAACAAATATTCCAAGTTTATGCATATAGTACGACGAGTTTTCAAAGGTTCCTCGGTCAATTTGTCTTACAATAATAATTTGGATCGGTTCCCTTCATATGGGAACAAGCCGACCCAATTTGGATCAGCTTGTTCTCATTTTTGATCGGCTTGTTCCACAACTTTGCGCATTAATATTGGACAGATTCAAGAAGTTCACCATCATTATAAGTACAGTTGTTCCATAAAATGTCTGGATATTTATCAGTTTATCAGCAATATTTGCCTGCATATTTGTAAGCATATTTGTCGCGCGCTAAAATTTTAAACGTAAAAACAGAAACGTAATTGTAAACTGTATCTAAATTATGACAATCTGAGAGCTCGGCTGCTGTTTGCCGACCTCGTGATGAATAATAAGTCATTCATTTATACTAATGTTTCTGTAGCATTTTTATTTAGATCGGGTATCTCTCCGACAGGCCAAATTATTAATCGTTATCCATGCTTGGGTCTGCACTTGTCTATTACAACAATGTCAAAACAACCATTTTCTTATATAAATTTTTACCGTGTAGTTACTGAATCGGATGCAAAACACCATGCAAGCAATATTGCTCAAGATCTAGTCTTTCGCATACTCGTGATAGATTAATCTATAAACTGTTGATTGTGTCACCAAACAGCGTCAAAAATCTCAAAACAAAATCGCTCGGCAGCAGTTTAACCATACGTATATTTTTAATTTATCTCTTCAAAGCGGTATTTATGTTAACGATTGGAAACGAGCTCGAGTAACTCCTATCTTCAAATCTGAAGATAAAAGTAAATGTGAAAATTATAGACCCATTTCTATTTTGTCAATTGTAAGTAAAGTCTTTGAAAAAGAAGTGTTTAGGCAAATGTATACGTACGTGAATGAAAGTAATCTTCTCTCAAAGTATCAGTCTGGCTTTCGGCCACAACACTCATGCAACCTTATCAGCCCTCATTAAAATATGTGACGAAATCTTAAATAACATGGACGAGGGGAAAATATACTGTATAGTACTTTTAGACATACGGAAAGCTTTTGATTCAATAAATCACAATATTTTATTAAGTAAAATGAGATCCAACTTTGGCATTAGCGGTAATGAATTACTCTGGTTTGAATCATACCTAATTATAACGAATAGGGAACAACAATGCGTAGCTAATGGGATACTATCCTCCGTTGGAAAATTAAAATGTGGGGTCCCCCAGGGGCCGATCCTGGGCCGTTGTTATTTTTGCTCTACATCAATGACCTACCACAATGTCTCCAAAAAACCACGCCGGGTCTGTATGCTGATGACACGGAAATTTACGCGTCATCACACAATGTAAATGATCTTATTGACAACGTAAATTATGACCTAAATATTGTTACGCAATGGATGGAGAATAATAAGCTACAAATTCATCCTAAGAAATCTAAATGTATGTTTATTGCATCCCCTTTAGTCTAGGACCTGTATATGAGTTTGTATGCATTTCATTTAGGACAGATAATCTCAACTGTTTAAGGGTAAGTTGACCATGACGGTCAACATGGTAACGCTAACCGAACCCCAATTCGGGGCGAAACGTCCGAAACTGACCACACCCAAAAACGACGCCTTCGTCATACTGCTATCTACCAAACCATAAAAGCTTTGGCTATTCTGAGGTGCTTATATGGTTCAGAGATGGTACTTTTGGGGGTAGTCATTGGTAAGTGTGAAATGCCTAGCACTAACATTTCACAAGAAAATGGCCATGCAATAATCATAGTTAAATGTCAATTTGTGGCTTGCAAATTCAGATAAACAGGAGTGGACTTACATTACTTTTTTCCCTAAATCTTTTTGATAGAAACATAAATGGTACTTATTTAAATATATTATCACTGGTTGGTGTAAAATAGTTAATATTTTCTGACCGAAATAATAATTCAAAATGTGCCTACCTCGTGCAAATGGACGTATTTGGCCAAGTTCTCCACTTTACTCCGCTGTTTTTCGGAGATCTCGTCGACATCCTACAAAAAATGTAAATCATCTCAGACATGATGGTATCAAGAACATTTTAAACAAGTTTCAACTTGGTTTCAAGTAGATCATACCTGTTTAACCATCGACAAGGTAAATCCACAACTTTGTCCAAATTCGGCGCCATTTTGTCATCCCATGTCGCTTGTTAACAATTCAGCCTTATTACTCTTCCATCCAAGCCATTTCCATTCCACTAATAATATAATAAATTTAACCCTTTATAACAGGAGGAAACTAAAAAATCTAAACAAAATACAAGAAATACGCCATTTTATCACCCTGTAAAATGTTGTTTACGAGCCTTCAAAACATTCCGTACAAATCTCGCGTGGTTTAGCAACAGGGACGTGACAGGGGGGGGGGAGGAGAGACTTGAAAAATGAAAGGAAAGCCCACACAGTATGGTAAAACCAACAATCAACATTTAATTTGTATCACTTTTTCATATTAATAAATAATAATATGTATATATTTGTCGCTACAAGAAATAAAACAAACATTTGTATGATTGTATTTAGCTTTTAGTCTATTTCACGCAGCCTTCTTCTATCTTCGTGAAATAATTTACCCCCTCCTGTCACGTCCCTGTTACTGTGTCACGCGATATTTGTACGGAATGTTTTGAAAGACTCGTGAGCAAAATTTTACATGGTGATA